CTGTGTGACTCTGGGAAAATTACTCAACCTCTCTGAGCTTCCATTTCTTCACGTGTAAAACTAGAATAATAATCCCTATCAACCTAGATTGTTAGGATGAACACATGAGATAATCTATGTAAAACACAAAAAGTAGTAGAATGCCATGGATAGGAACATTATTACTATTGCTATTAGTATTGTTAATATTATTGTTGTTGTTATTATTATTATTATTATTATTATTATTGATTCTGGTGCCCTAAGGCTCCCCTGAGTTCTCAGAGTCTGTGATTCCCTGAAGAAACACTGGTTTTGAGTCACAAATGATGGAGGTGTCTTCCCGGGAACCCTTTTACTCAGCTCCGTTCAGCCCTCTGGCAGGACCCCCTTTTCACACTCCCAGGACACATGGTCCCTCCCACTGAACACAGGTCATCTCATCTCCTAATTCCTCGAAATGACACATAGACCCTTCCCACTCACAGGAGCAGAGAAGCGGGTAAGGAGGGAGCTGGGTGTAGGGGAAAGTGGAGCCCAAGGAGCTGTGTGCAGCTGCAGATTCAATCACAATTAGCGAAAGCCACCTGGGGAACAGGCTGTGCCCGGCGTGGCTGGGGCCTGTTTGTTTGCAGGCTGTGGGTTGCCAGGGCTTTGTTAGCAGCCCTCAGCGAGGGCCTCGCAGGAAGATTTTATTTGCTTTTCCTGTATGCCAGTCCTGCCGGGCAGCCTTCGCTGCATAACCTGGCCTACATCTGACCACTGTGTTCGGAGTGGGGCCAGGTTCATGGCGGCTGGGAAGATTTGAATTTTAATCAGAATGTTCTTTCACCTTTAACACTGCTGCTCCTAAGCTAGTGAATTTCCTTCCCTAAAACTCTTCAACCCACACATACACACATACTCCCTTTTATACTTTTCATGCCCTTTTCACAGTTAATGTATTTATGTGACATTTTCTTGAAATATGGTTTTATAGATATGAGAGGGAGAGAGGGAGAGAGAGAAGCATCATTGTGAGAGAGAGACATCAATCAGATGTCTCCTGCACAAACCCCAGTATCCTGACTGGGAATCAAATCTGTGACCTCTCATTGCATGGAAGGACACTCAACCCACTGAGCCACATTGCCATTTGACCATGTCAGCCTATCCTGAGTACTAGAGATGTCAGACAGGCAGGTCAGGCACTCTGTTCACTCCTGCTGACATGGCTTCTCCATGGTGTGAGTCCCTCTTACAATTAGGTTGTTGGGTTTAGCAAAACACAAGATGCCCACTTAAATTAGAAATATGAATAATGAACAATCTCCAGTTAAAATATGTTCTGTGCAATCCTCGGGACATATACTATGAATTATTGGTTATTTATCTGAAGTTCAGATGTAACCGTACATCCTGTATTTTATCTAATTACAGCTTGTCTGTGATGCTCAGTAAATACATACATGAATGAAGAAATGAACAGAGCTAATGCATGATCAAAAACAGAAAACCCAATGCAGATATTTTACTGGGAAGTACACAGAACACCTTAGGGGTGATTATTTCAAAGTGATAGGATTATTGAAAAATTTCTGTTTTTCTATGTGATTCTGTACACTTTTCAATTTAACTAACATGAGCAGAAAAGGTTTATTTATACCTATATAAGCATACACTATCAAACAAAGTAAACCTGCTTACAAGAGAAACAATTTGTGTTTTCTCTCAGCCTGAAATCCAGAATTTTCTGAACACATCCCTGTGGTAAGGGACATTTTGGGAATACATGAGAAGATTATTGAAAGCAATATTGAGAAGCATATTCTGCATATCAGTAAATTAGAACACACAAAGGGGTACAAGGAGTTCAAAAAATATTGCTGCTATTTTATTAACTGTACAGTGCTTCTTAAGAAAATTGGCTCCTGAAGCTTTGGGAATGTAAAAGTAAGTCCAGTTAAACCCGAGACACAAATCTTGACTAAATTGTGCCTAACATACTGGGAATGCTTTATTTTTGTTTGATTTGCAGAATGAGGGTGGAAAACCAAGTAAGACAAGCATAAGCTCTTACAGAGAATGAGTTGAAAACCCCTCCATGCCCCCACACACAACTTCCCATGATGCCTTGTTCCAAGCATCATTCAAATGTACTTTGATGGGCATGTTCAGAATGTGTCATCTTAATTGGGCAAGGAAAGGAACTAGAATTTGTAAGATGCTTACTATGTGCTGGGCACTAAGCATAGCACTTTCTCTCATTTCATTCATATAAACTAGGGGTGTTGAACTCAATCAGAGAAGGGGCCAAAATCTAAAATCCAGCCTAAATCGCGGGCCGAATGGTTTACTGAACAGTCATAAACTGTCATTGTGATGGAAACGCAGTGGAGTGCAGTGATGACAGCGCGGTGCGGGCCACATTGCAAGGCCTGGCGGGACGGATTTGGCCCGCGGGCCTTGTGTTTGACACATGTGATATAAACAATCCAAGTCATACCCATTAACTCTGACTTCGAACAATGTGACTTAATGATAAAGATTGCTCACAATCACACCTCCAGAAATATTGCAAGGTCCTTAATAGTTGTGGAAAGAGTGACTTCCATTTACTATGCTTGTACTTACTAAGGCAGATAGCATTTTTTTTTAACAATCTATTTTTATTGACTTAAGAGAAGAAGGGAAAGAAAGAGAGAGATAGAAACATCAATGGTGAAAGGGAATCATTGATTGACTGCCTCCTGCATGCCCCACCCTGGGGATGGAGCCCACAATCCAGGCACATGCCCTTGACTGATATCGAATCTGGGGCCCTTCGATCAGCAGGCTGACACTCTGCCCACTGAGGCAAACTAGCTAAGGCAGACAGCATTTATTAGAAGACCTTTCGTTCAGGGTATAAGAGATAAAGGTTTTCTGCTGTACCTGGAGGAATGGTTCCCCTCCCAATTTTCAGTTCTGAACGTGGGGCTAGAATCATGGGATGAGGGGTGGGGTGTCTCTCCTCTCTCCTCTCAGTGTTAATGGCGCCCAGTGTTCCACTGTGAGATTCAGTGTGAGAAGACAGAAGGACAGGGTAAATGTCATGTCATCACCAAGTCAGCACCCACGAAGAACAGAAAGTCATCTGTAATGACGCCATGTCAGCAGATAGCAAAGTCTGCAAACCTTGGCTGGCTTAAAGTCTCATTACACCCACCCATGTGGTGGGGGGGAAAAACAAGATTAGAATGAAATCAGCCTTACCTACTCAGTGATGAGAGACAAGCAGGAAAGGGTGAAAGGCTGTCTGTCTTTATGAAGGGCTCCCGGTCTTAAAAAGAGAAAATTAGTTGAGTGAACTTTTAAAGAAGAAAATGTGACTTTGGACAAAAAGAGCCTGTGAAGTGAGAGCACTTCCTTATTCTCAGGGTGGAGAGAGACGGAAAAAGGGTAATTTGATGATTGCTGTGGATGGGAAGAAAGGGCTGCCTCCATTTAACTCTTCCATGGCAGCGTTTTCAATGGGCCCCTCGAAAATACTGCTGAATGCATGAGCCGGAGCCAAAATTAGACTCTCCCATGTCTCAGTTGTGCAGAAGCTATAATAGACCTGTCTCCCAGCCACCCAGAACCATCTTCTATTCAATGGCAGTAGGTAGCATTTGAGCAAAGTGCATATTAAGTGAAGTGTGTTAATTAATGAAGGAGAGAGACAGGTTTCATGCACTGGTTCCTCCAGAGGAATGTCCCTAAATACACAGTGACATGTCAATTACTTTTCCATTAGTATTTGCTGAATAAAGACCTTTTTCTTGCCTTTGCCTGCAAGTAAGCACTGCTTGGCGTGCATATTTAAATGACAGTCCTACGGAATTAGCTTTAAGAATGGGCTCTGAACACAATGGCTGCCTTCAAATGCACAGCAAGATGAGACAGCCACAGAAAGGCCTCCACACATAAAAAAAGGGCAGGAAGTCATAGGTAAGCCAAGCCTCATCATTTTCTAAGCGTGGGGTTGTAATAATGGCTTTGAAAACCCATCACTTAAAGTAGCTGCCAAAAACGGTTTGGCTCAGTAGCGAGTATCAGCCTGTGGACTGAAGTGTCCCGGGTTCGATTCCAGTCAAGGGCATGTACCTTGGTTGAGAGCACATCCCCAGTGGGGGGCGGTGTGCAGGAAGCAGCTGATCGATGTTTCTCTCTCCTCAATGTTTCTGGCTCTGTCCTTATCTCTTTCTCTCTGTAAAAAATCAATAAAATATATATTTTAAAGTAGCTCCAACTCTGTTAAACCCTATATGGTGAGAAACACGGAACCTATCCTTGCTTCAAGGAAACCAGCTTTATTGCTAATCATTAGAAAATATGTTTTTATTGATTTTAGAGAGACCAGAAGGGTGAGGAAGAGAGAGGTAGAAACATCTATCTATGAGAGAGAAACATTGATCAGCTGCCTTCTGCATGCCCCTCTCCTGGGGATTGAGCCTGCAACTGGGCATGTGCTTTGATTGGGCAATCAAACCAGTGACCACTCTGTAAATGCCAATCATTTTAAGGGGAAAACTCTTAGTACTCATTCTTTCGACCTTTTTAATTACAATACTTTTAAAATTAAAACTTGATCTCAAGGGCAAGAGACAATAAAACAATTATTTTGTTTCATTATCAAGTCAAAGACACCAAGGAGAATAAAAGTCCTTAAGGAAGATCCTAATAAGGACTTTGCAATAGCACCCTAGAACTCAAGGTACTCTCATACCACAGTATTGGGGATGAAGACAGAAGTATATGCATTCAGAGGTGCAATGAAACCACTCACCACAGCCCTGGCTCATGTGGCTCAGTTGGTTGTTCACCCATCGGTTGCTAGCTGGATTCTCTGTCAGGTCATATGCCTGAACTTCAGGCTCTATCCCCCTTGCCGGGGTGGGGGTTGTGCAGGAGGCAGCAGATCGATGCTTCACTCTTACATCAATGTTTATCTCTCTCCCTCCCTCTTCCTTCCTCTCTTTTTAAAAATCAAAATTTATATTAAAAAACAAAACACTTACCACAAATTAACCAGGAAAGGGTGCTCCAGACCCTGCATGATCTGCAGTTCCTTGAAGACATTTCTCACTTCATTGCGCTCGACACACTTCTGTTTGTTCATGTATTTCATTGCATACATCTTCTTGGTATCGTTCTTCTGAACGATGCAGACCTATTGGGGGAAACCAGAGTGAGAAAGTGATCAGGGAGATGACGGATCACAGTGATGAACGGCAGAACAAGATGAGTCTTCAGCATGGCTTGGAGGCCTTATCACTTGCAAATTCTCTGTTGCTAAAGTTGCTACTTAGTTCTGATTTCAGAGTAAAGAAACGTCATTTTCTTCCCATGTATAAAATCAATTCCTAAATCTTTGCTTTCTCAAATGAATTTATCTATTTTTCCTTTGGGGACTTTTTTTTTTTTTTTTTTTTTTTTTTTTTTTTTAAACAGCATTTTGGAGAAAATAGCTGCCTCCTTGTTAGGAAATTCCCATAGCAAATGACATCCTCATTCTGCTTGAGTGACTTAACTGAATGGGCAAAGCTGCCAAGCTAAATGACATTGTACAAAGAATTTTTGTTTGTACCCATAAGTGGTATAACTAACCAAAAAAGACTTTTCAGAAAGTGATAACACTAAACACAATGTCTATATTGTTTATGTATTTTTTGAGGTTCATATAATGCCTGATAATGTAGACAGCAATACTTTTAAAATACCAAGTTCAATATAAAATATTCTCAAGATACATCTCCACTAAGAAGCTAATATCAGGGTTTGAATCTAGAAGTTTCTTCCAAAAATTTAAATGGTATATGTGTATTTTTCATGATAGGATTCTTAAAAAAATAAAAACATGGTACAACTTGGGAAAAAAAGAAATAAGGTGGCATCTTTCCCACATTCAAAGATTTAAAGCTTACATTGACATCTCTGAACTATTCCTGGTGGTTCCAGTAACTTTGTAATCTGAACATTCTTGGACTCTGTTCCCTGAGCTGCATAACCCTATTAATCATTTGGATCCTCACCTTCCCAAAACTGCCTTTCCCAATGGCTCGCAGAATTTCAAAGTGGTCAAAGTTGACTGCAAGACAAACAGAAGAACATTGTAAGTGATTATCAGTTGTCTTTTAGTAGCTAACAAATAATAAATAAAGATTGGGCTAAACCGAAGTACCTTGTTTAAAACAGGATTCCAGACTAGCTTAAAATGCCCATTCATTTATTCAATAAATATCTCTTGAACATCTCTATATATAATAGCCTAATATGCAAAGTGTCCCCTCAGGAGTTCAACCAGGAGACTAGGAGTTTGATTGCTCACTATGACATGCGTTGATCACCAGGGGGCAGCACAGAACCAAGGAAGGCCCCAGGCAGCAGCCAGAAGGAAGGCCTAGGCCTGCAGCCGGAAGGCCCCGATTGGCCCTGATCGCTGGCCAGGCCTAGGGGCCTTACCTGTGCATGAATTTCACACACCAGGCCTCTAGTTATAATATATTATGCTGTAATCACAGTGCTTAGTACTGGAGGATACAGTAATAATGGAGTAGAAATCTAATCTCTACCCATATGGAGCCTGTGGTCCTGTAAAGGCTCCACACAGAAAGAAACCGTTAAGGATTAAACAGTCACAAAAATAAGTGGACAATTAAAACTGCTGTGGAATGTTAAGAAGGATAAAGTTGTGGGGCTCTAAGAGCATGTACTGGGATTTCACACAGGCAGCAAGGTCAGGGGGAGCATCTCTGCCCAGACGTTTATGGAGAGATCTGGTCCCCTGTGGATCTGGCCCTGTTTCAGGATCAGCACTTCAAATATCTTCTCCCTGCCTATTCTCTTCACAACCAGCCACTCTTTTGTATCTTAATAATTTTTGTCTTCCCAAGTAGAATACTATTACACTCATAAGTTCATCGAATGAGCAGATCCCCAAAGGACATATCTAAGAGATTAGCATGAACATGTGGACAGAGTCTGCTGAATGGTGTTATGAAGTGCAGATGATCTTCTACATTTGCCATTTTAACACTTCAGCGCCGAGAAGTTAAAAGAAGTAGCTGTTGTATAGGTGGTGTGGTCTCTTGGGCAGTGCTCATGAAATGCTTGGTGATGAGAAAAGCCAAGTATAGGGTCACTTAGGTGACAATTTTTGGTTTCTTGCCTTGATGATTTTGAGGAAACATTCCACTTGTTTCCTGGTTTTTGAAATAAGGATTTAGATGAGTAAAATTCCAAATGAGGAATTATAAAAGCTTATTTGGAAATGGTTGGGAAACACTAAAAGGTACCACGCTTTTTAAAAGATGTATTTTTCTCTCTCTTTTTAAAAATAATTACATTGCCAAAACCAGTTTGGCTCAGTGGATAGAGCACCAGCCTTCAGACTGAAGTTCAATTCTGGTCAAGGGCATGTACCTTGGTTGCTGGCACATCCCCAGTAGGGGGTGTGCAGGAGGCAGCTGATCAATCTTTCTCTCTCATTGATGTTTCTAACTCTCTATTTCTCTCCCTTACTCACTGTCAAAAATCAGTAAAATATATTTTTACAAAAACCTAAAAAAATAATTATATTATCTCTTCCTGAAAGAACTAGAAATAAGTAAGGGGACCTCTAAAGGTTTTTCCAAGCTTTCTGAGGGTCAAAACATTTCTATAATATAACTTATGGATGAAGAAGGGGCCACATACCGACCTGACAAGCTGGAGGGACTGTATGGCAGGTCTTACAAACTCACAGACCTAAAGTAACCACATAGGATGGTCTGAAGGTAAAAATTCCTAGCCCAGCTAATGTAGCTCAATGGTTGAATGTCAACTTGTGAACCAGGTCATAATTTGATTCCTGATTAAGGCACATGCCTGGGTTTTAGGCTCAATATCCCAATCCCAGGTAGAGGGAATGCGGGAGGCAGCTGATTGATGATTCTCTCTCATCATTGATGTTTCTCTCTCTCTCTCCCCCTTTCCCTTCCTTTCTAAAACCAATAACAATATAGTCAAACAAACAAAGAACTTCCTAACTAAAAGTGAGTCATTGTGGGAAATAATATCCTATGCAAGTATTTTCTTTGACAAAGGTCGATCTTTACCTTATGTGAGCCTGTCTATGGTCATTTTTACATCTAGTAAATTACTTTGTAAAGTCAAAGTAATCCCCATTTTTCCAGATTACTCAGGGTACAGCCTCACACCAGAGCACAGACCCCAGAACCCCTCAATGTTATCTTCTTCTCTTGCATACTCTCTCTATATGCTGTAAATGTTAATTGTTAATTATACTATACCCACCAATGTAAAAGAAATATGTGTCTGTCTGTTTTACTTGTTATCCAACCTCAGAGATTTCTCCACTTTGCTTTCTCCCTAATCTACCACCAATGGATTTCATGTAACCTCCTTACATCTTCCCCTTTGATTCTGATGTACAAAATAACTGGTAAGACTGCCATTTTCTGGAGCATTTTGTCAGTCCACTGAGATTTTGCTTCCCAGCAACTGTCATCAGTTTGGCTCAAGTAAACTCATAAAATTTCACTACAGGTTTGAGCATTCCTTACATCAATAGTCTTGATCATCACTTTCTTCTCTAAACTCCAAAATCAATTCATTTCTACCACTAAAGCCATTTAATCATGTGAGGCAGCATGTACCTTGCAAATAATCCTGGTTTTAGACTCAAAATAGTGAAGTGACTTGACCTGGCCAATGTGGGTCAGTTGAGCATCATCCTGTGCACCTAAAGGTTATGGGTTCAACTCTTGGTCAGAGCACATACCTAGGTTGAGGATTTGATCTCTAGTCAGGGTTTGTATGGGAGGCAACTGATCAACGTTTTTCTCTCACATCGATGTTTTCCTCTCCCCCCTCTCCCTCTTTCTCCCTCCATCCCTCCCTGTTGCAAAGCCACACTCACCACTTCAGTGGAATAGTGGGCAGAATCAACCCACTTGAGTCTGCTCGGTAGCATTCTTATAAATTCCATATATACCTTTTTGATGCTGGACCAAGGCTCTTAACCACTATTTTTATAGTTGTTTTATTGTTATTATCATAGCACATCTACCTATCCCAAAGACAGAATCAGGGGGAACAAGGTGGAATTTTTTTTATCTCTCCTTTTTAGAATCAGCTGAGCCAGGTCAGGTTTTACTGAGTCTCTAACACAAATATGCTGATTGTGGAATCCAGGGCTGGTGTTTTGATTTCTTTTGCTTTACTTTTCATAGCATCTCCCCAGTCTTAACATTCTGCACAATAAACAGAGTTGAAGGAAAGAAAAGGGGAAACCCTCCTTACAGTTTATTGTAACACTCACACACTTGAAATTTGGAAGAAGAGCATTCTAGAAGATAAAGCAGATATAATATGGTGGTTACAAGCATGAAACTCTGGGTTTGGGTTCTGGCCAGACTACTTACTAGCTATGAACTTAAAGTAAATTATTTAAGCTTTCTGAGTTTCAGTTTCTTCCTATGAAAAATTTTGGTCATATATAGTATCCCTTCTAAGGTTATTATGAGGATGAGGTGAAATAAGACATATCAAAGGTTCTTAATTAGGTATTTTGGGGAGAGAATAAGAACTCAATAAATGTATCACTATTATTGCTGGGATTTTTTGTAATTGTTACTATGTGAGTCATCTTAATATCAGCCCAGAATATCATTTGCCAAAACATTAGGCTAAATGACGTTGGGACTTCGCACAGGACAATTTGCCAAGAATGTCACTTCCCTGAAGACAGACATTGGCCGGCCCTGTTTATCTTTATATCTACATTACCTGGAACCCCTTGGGCAAGTAGCAGGTGGTAAACCCTTGTTACGTGGAAGAAGGGGGCAATAAAGTACCATCAGTAAAGTTTCACCAAATATAAAGCTTTAGAGAAAAATTTCAAGATAGTTTTTCCACATTGACTTCCTAGCATATCATCATTTATAACAGGTACTTCCTAAGAATGTACCAACAACTTACTTACTATCAAAGGGCTTCTTACTGTGCTACACAATAAAGTGGGCTTCCATTGGAATGTCATTATAACATTACAGCTTCAGATTCATCTGGAGAAAATGGATTTATACCTTACAAAGCTCAAGGACTGACTGACTGACTGAGCTCAGAAGCATGGAGAGCTGCCATTCTTCATCCCACCAACTTCACAGAGACCAGCTACCCTAAGGGAGGACAAGGTGCAAAGCCCAGGAGCTGCAGGTAATTAACAGCAAGAGTCAGAGGGCATTTGCTTTGTCATCATCTGCATCATCTTTGAACAGAAATCACTGTGTCATCCTAAGCAACACAAAGGTACCAACATTAAGTGACAGTCTTCTGTACACCTTGTCCAAATGAAGGAATCAGTGCCTCTCCTATGTCCTGTCACTTTGCCCATTTTTAAGAAAAAGGACAGAAATAAATTAAGGCTTCCCTTACAAATACAACTCTTCTGGTGGATGTTACAGTTTTCCATTAATTCAATGAGTGAATATTTGGTCATCATGCTGCATTCCCAATGGAGGCCTTTATAAGGAAAGACTCACTTATGCCCTTTTAAGATAGTCACAGTAAGAAGGGGAAGAAGCTAGTCACTTCTCCAGAAGCCACAGCTTTGCTAGTGAGTCAAATCAACAAATATTTATTGAGCATCTGTGTGCCCAGGACTCTGCTAGGCACTGATGATAAAACAAAAGGAGCCCTGGCTGGTGTGGCTCAGTTGGTTGGGCATCGTCCCATGCACTAAAAGAGTGCCTGTTCCATTCCCAGTCAGGGCACATGATCAGGTTGTGGGCTTGATCCCTGGAAAGGGGCATGCAGGAAACAACCAAATGTTATTTTGCTCTCACATAGACTCATTCATTCTCTCTCTCTTTCTCTCTCTCTCTCTCTCTCTCTCTCTCTCTCTCTCTCTCTCTCTTTCTCTCTCTCTCTCTCTCTCTCAAAATTAAGTAAATAAATAAAAAATAAATAAGAAAACAAAAGGAGCCCTAACCAGTTTGTCTCGGTGGATAGAGTATCAACCTGCAAACTCAAGGGTCCCAGATTCAATTCTGATCAAGGGCATGTACCTTGGTTGTGGGCACATAC